GATGGCCACAACACAGAAAAGAGCAGAATTTGACGGTGTAAGTTCTAGTGGGAAACTGGCAAAACATGGCTGAGAAAATGGGGAGGTATGGTCTAAAGAAGAGATTAAACTAGTTTTCTGTAATAAGGCAGGATGGGGGCAAGTGTTAGTGTGAATTTGGCAGCAAGTAATTCAGAGGACACAGATGGTCTCGTTACTCTCTCCCTCTAAGGTGGAATGTAAACACATCTGCAGAAAATGCAGGGTTGAGGGCAGTGGAGGTCTTCGACAAAAGTTGCAGAGCAGAAAGAAGACTGGTGAGAGAAAAATATTGTTATTACTTGTTGGCAGTGTTGAATTCCCAAATGAAGGTGGTCCAGATTCCCCTGTGTTAATTTTCCCAAGCAGCACAGAGGTGCCCATGCAGACATGGAGAAAGAAAATTCATTGGTGACTGTGGTTATGACATGGATGTGACCAAGTGAAAGAGAAGTGATGGGATGTAGGAATGGTTAAGTGTGGTGAAATTCTGGATGTAGAATCCAAGCTAACTACAAAGAAAGAAGAGGACAGAATGGGGCTGATGCACTGGGAAAGGACAGAAGTTTAAAAAAAGATGAGAGTAGAAGAAGTTGATCAAGCAAGTTGGAAGAAGGAGACTATGGTTAGGAAGGGCTGATATGATTGAATTAGTAATTTCCTAATAAGAATGATTTGGGGGGTGATGACAAGATTCAGAATACAACGTGAAAAGTGTCTGACTGGGAGTAGAGAATAACACTGGAAGTGATAAAGCCATGAACTTAAGTTGTGAATGGTTGATCTATGTGGAGCACCCAGGGTGATGGCAGAAATTGCTTTGTATATAATGACAGATGATGGGATACAGATAGAAATAAATAGCCAAGCACATTTCTAGTGATCCTTATAAATGAAAGAAAATGATTAAGGAGTTTTAAATACAGTTCATCATCACACTTCTTCAGAAACACTTTTTCCTTTTTAAGTTCATGTTGACTTCAAATAGCTTAAGTTTTGGAGACTCTTTAAAAGAGGTTAAGAAATCTTTATTCTTCCAAGACTTTTGTTATTCATTTGCCTAGTCAATGTATCCCAGTCAAGTCCAAAATTAAAATCTTAATTATGCAGAATCTGAAATAAAGCCATTTAATTGTATGTTTGTATATATATGAGCATAAGATATAATATACATGCACATACTACCTACTTTTGAATGAAAAGTCTTTTGGTATGTAACTACTTTTTAAATAAAACCCTAGCAATAGGATATAGATAATTACTGCCCTGCTTAGAAATGTGGAAACAAGGGAGAGACGCTTGCTTCCTGAAAGGCTAATTTTAAATACTCTGGGGGAAAAAAGCACATCTTCAAAGACCTTATAAAAAACACTATACAGAGCTAATATAAGATCTGACATTTGTGGAAATAAATATGGAGAACACTTTCCATATTAAGATGTCAGTCAGCATTATATTTAAATGTACCTTAATTAGTGACTTTCTTCTTCTAATAAAGGGACTTAATTATCCTTGTTATTAGGCAGTGACTTTGAACATTTTACTGGGATGAGTAACATTAGACTAATTCAAGCACACATTTAAATTTCTTACATAGCTTATGTATTAGTGATCATTACTAATCTTATATCAAACTTTGGGATATTATGTATGGTTAATTATATCAGAAAAAAAGCAACTTATAAAGCAACTACACCACTTTGAAATTACCTCCCTTCCCATTCTTAAAAAAGGTGTTTGATTTGAATACATTTGTTGCTCATTTTGAAGGATGGGATGGGGTTGGATAAGAAACTAATTATTCTCAATGGAAAAAAATTATGGTACTCTTTTCAAAGTATAAAGGTGAGAGATTCTTTGTTGCCTCTCTATGTAGACATTTAACATTAGGTAGGGTACCACAGGTCCAGATGAAAGACTGGGCTACATGCTCTCTATATTGTGACTTTACCCTCATATCCTAAGCAATTCAGAGAAAAAGGGGCTCAGGAGGTCAGCACTTTTATGTACCACGGTGCCTAGAAAGCTGTTTCTTCATGTG